AGGACTGGTTTTCTTCTTATCCACCTCCCTGAAGGGATCTTTTAGACAAGATTCTTGGCTTTTTGTCCTCTCTGCTTATATGCCTGCTTCATTTTTTGTTGTTGTCACTTTTCAACCTTGTCTCATAGTATGAAAGCAAGTTTCTCATTGTAGTTGAATGCTGGGCTCATTTCTGAAAACTAACACTGATGATGTTACCCAGTTAGGATAATGAAACGTCTGCAAGAAAACAAGCAAGTTCAGAGAGCACCGAGGACCCCTCATTTCTGAAAAGTCAGGCTTGTTTTCCTTTAGACCAGGATTGGGCAACTATGGCTTATTTTAAGACCTGTGGATTTTAACTCCCAGAATTCTGGAGCCAGGATAGTATTCTGCTTTAGATGTGCAGTGCAAAGATCTTGATTTTTTTCCCCTTGGACATCAAAAAACAGAGTTTAAATTCTTGGGATCCTCTCAGATGTCCTTTGAAAAAAGCCATGGACGTTTTGGAAAACTTGTCCAGGTGGGACAAATTACTCAAAAGCTCTTCCATTCCACCCCTATATCCTCCCTCCCTCTCTGAGTTTTGACTCCTCCCATTTCCTCTGTGTGAGGTGCTTTTTTTTAAAAAAAAAAAAATCAGGTGGGCTCCACCTACTACACAAATAGCCATTCCCAGGCCTAAAGGCCCTTCAGTCTTTCTCTGGCTGCCTTCCTGAAGGAGAGAGGAGAATAAAGCCTCATCTGATGGCAGAGAGCAGGAGAGCAAGAATAGCTGCCCAGGAAGCCCTCTTCCAGCTGCTTACTGATCCTGGTTAGTATTCCTGGTCAGAGAAAGAAAGAAGATGAGAAGTAGGACAGGTGGGAGAGCTGAGGTGTTCCCTTTTCTTGGAGAGGCTACTTCTTGGTTTTCTGTCTGGATTTTAACTTTCTGCATCCTATTAGCTGCTTGCTACTCCAATTCTGTGTTCTTAGCTACACTTCTGTCCCAAGATGGATGCCCTCATTAGGACAGACTGAAGTTACTTTCCCTGTGCCCTGCACTTCCATCTTCCTTCCTTGTGTCTTTTACCTTTCTTTCTCCAGGAGCCTCTTTTCTTTTTCTGCTTTTACCGTAAATCACCTTTTTGGGTTGCCCTCCCCCTCTTTTGCCCTCCATATTAAGCAGGGGTGGACAACTGTGGCCTCTTTAAAACCTGCGGACTTCAACTCCCAGAATTCCTTTGCCAGCCAGCATGAAGTCTACAGGTTGTAACAGGGACATATTTGCCCACCCCTTATGTTTAAGCATTCATTCTTGGAGTTTGCCCAACCCTATTTCCTTCTCAGTTTATTTCTCCCCATTCCTTTTCTCCTTGCAAACCCCATGTTGGCCACCTGGTTTCAAGCCTTTTTTAATTCCTTTAGCCTTTAGAGCAGCGGTTCTCCACCTGTGGGTCGCGACCCCTTTGGGAGTCGAACGACCCTTTCACAGGGGTCGCCTAAGACCATCGGAAAACACATATTTTCGATGGTCTTAGGAACGGAGACACCGCTCCTCTATCCGTCTCCAGGCAGATAGGGCCCTATACCAGTGTTTCTCAACCTTGACAATTTTAAGGCATGTGGACTTCAACTCCCAGAATTCCACAGCCAGCAATGCTGGCTGTGGAATTCTGGGAGTTGAAGTCCACATGCCTTAAAATTGTCAAGGTTGAGAAACATTGCCCTATACAGTTAAGCAGATGGTTTGCTGTCTCTTCTCTTCCATTAAACCAGGGGTAGTCAACCTTGGCTCTTTTATGACTCGTGGACTTCAATTCCCAGAATTCCTGAGCCAGCTTAGCTGGCTCAGGAATTCTGGGAGTTGAAGTCCACGAGTCATAAAAGAGCCAAGGTTGACTACCCCTGCATTAAACTTTGGGAAGTCCACCCATCTCTTTTTCCCTTCAATCAACTCAAGGAGGGGAAGGGGCACCCTCGTCGACCTCCGGGAGTTTGGGCGAGGCGGAGCCAGCCTTCCGCGTGGCTGGCTGGCGGCCGGGAGGGAAGGGAAGGAGGAGCGGGCTGCCGCCGTCCCGCCGAGGCTTCTTCGCCGGGCAGCCCGGGAGGAGTATCCCGCTTGCGCCGCCCGTCTCCGCCCAGCGCTGGGAGCCGGGGTTACATTGGGCCTTCCCGCCCCCTCCCCGTCCCGCCTTCCGGCGTGCTGGTGAAGTTTCTCCCCTCGGAGGATCAAAACAGCCGGACCGAGGCGGCCGTGAGGTTGCTTGTAACTGAGATCGACACTGAAATGGGTCCTGGGAGATTATACTGTGTTTTAAAATCTGTAAGAAAAGGCAAATGGTTGGAACAAGAGGAGGATAGGCTTGTGTGTGTGTGTGTGTGTGTGTGTGTGTGTGTGTGTGTGTGTGTGTGTGTGTGTGTGTGTGTGTGTGTGTGTGAAAAATAATAAGGCACTTGGGCAGGTGGGATCGGAGGACCGGAAACAACTTTGCTTGTTTTGTAATGATTGACTTTGACCCGAGACTTTACTTGCATTATTTTCTTGCAACCTAACGAGGTAGATCAGTTTGATTTTCCCTGCTGTTCAGTTGGAAGGGAGAGGATGTAAGAGCAGGCGTTGCCAACGTTTTTTATTTCACAAGTATTCATTCAGTTAGGGGTTTTTTTCCCCCCCCACCAAATCTGCGATTTTGATTATCAGCACGCCTTGGATTGCATGTGTCACGTTTCTTTTCTTTTTGGGGCCTCATTGCCCTGTTGTGAGATGTAGAAAAAGGCCCATTGGTTTGAAAGTTACTTGGGATGGTTTTGGGACTGCACTGTATCAAATTTCAGTCCCTCAATCCTAAATAACATGCTTAACAACTTTTTGTGTATAACTTTATTCTGTCTCATTTCTTCTAATGGTGTTTACAAAGTAAAATCTTAATTTTACTTAAATTGGGTCTGTTTCTACAGTGCTTATTCACCCGGTCAACTAATATTTGAAATTAATGTCCGTTAATTTGCTTTTATTTGAATCAAGAATAGAAAAGTTAGGTTTGTCAGTAAGCACTTCTTGTTTACTGTCTGATTTCAAATTCAACTGAATCATAAAATGTTGATATTGCTAAACCCAAATATTCAAAGTCCTATGTGAGACTTACATAATGCACAATTGTTATACAATTGATCCATAATGCACAATTGTTATACAATTGATCCTGGCTCCCTATTTTGATTCCAAAAGCAACAACATATTCACCAACACATTTCTTTGTGCTTTTCAGAATTCATGCCCTACTCAATCTTCATTTTTTTGTGGATTCTGTTTTTTTTTTTAAAAAAAACCCAACAACACCTGGATGAGAAGGATAACACTACTCTCAAACATAACCTATCTTTTGTAAAATGCCTCTGGACTCCATATAGATCCCAGATACTTCTTTTAGAAACTAATAATAAATATCATGTATGAAATGAAATGATGAATGAGTGCAATCCAGGGCTTTGTGATTTTTGTGATTAATCACTATGTTTTAATTATGTTCAATTTGTAACAATGAAAATACATCCTGCATATCAGATATTTACATTACGATTCATAACAGTAGCAAAATTACAGTTATGAAGTAGCAACAAAAATAATTTTATGGTTGGGGGTCACCACAACATGAGGAACTGTATTAAAGGGTCGCTGGATTAGGAAGATTGAGAACCACTGCTTTAGAGTATCCCAAGAACGTGGACCTTGATTCTCTTACTCTGGTGTATCTCCTGCTTGATGGGAATGGATTGGAGAGGGTGGAAATTTTACTTCTACTCAGAGGGTCCAGGAAAAACATTCCAGATGCAGTGAAAAAGGATAAAAGGGTGGGTGAGAGTATAAGGGTGAGAGACAGAATATAATTGTAATTGTAATCTCTAATTGGTAGCTATTGTAATTAGGGATTAAGCTAGTTGGCCCAGCATAACATTGGAATGGTGGTCTATTCTTATGGTAACCGCCTCCACTTTAGCGCCCTCTAGTGCACTAGGCTATAACAGCAGTAATACATTTGCCAGTTTGGGAGAATTGCTAAAATATGATAGAAATTGTGGTTTAACACATCTGAAGACCATCAGGTTGGGGAACACTGCAAATACATTTGCCAAATTTATTTAGTTTGTTTATTTAAAATATTTATATAGCCCCTTTTCCTTTTTTGTTGCTGCTCCTAAAGCACTATTAAACCAGTACACGATAAGCAAAAATGAAAATAAAATTATTTTGCTTTTGTAAATTACAGATGGTTGCTGGGTGGGTGGGGAAGTAAAAGTCTTCTATAGGCTTATTTTAAACATTGCGACTTGTTAATTTTTAGATGTATGCATTCCTTTCAGAAGCAGT